TTCTTAAAAGCAGCTTTCCTCATGCGTCGGCATTTCACAGTCGCTATACAAAACGACAACACCAAAAACTGTGGCCTCAGCCATGAAGCTGATTCGCCACGGCACTAGTACAGAAAGCAGTTACTGCGGCTAACATCTTTCTGGCTAACTGGCGAACGACCAGGAAGAAATCATCAAATTTTGAGTATACTCATTGGCTCGTTAACAGTGATGACCTATATAAGGGGCCATCTCCGTGTACCAATATGTTTAACGTCAAATTCTGAGTCTGTGTACTTCTGTAACAAATTGTTTTATTATACAGCCACAATCGAATATCACAACGTCATGAAACCAAGTGTCTCGAAATCCATCAGTAATCTGATGCCCCTCCCATTGCATCGCCACAAACTCACACCTTTTAAAATGCTGTACTTTTTCGAAGTTTATTGGACGTGCCAAGCAGGTCCGGTCGATAGCCAGTTCTGCACTGTTACACTTCAGCAGCGAACCGCATGTGCTGTGGAAACTAATGGATTCTATTGGCGAATGGCGATTGCAAACTGTGCCGCTGTTCGGCTTCAATCCTGCCTCTCCACTATACCGTAGCCCGCAGTCAAAAATCCTGTTTACCGGTGGATTTCCTGGTCTGCACGAAAACATTATCGAATTACCTGCAATTCTTGAAAAGTGGGCTGGGTAAACTGAAACGCGGGTCGCGGCCCACCTGCAGCATTCGACTGCCGGCCAGCCGGTTTGACGTGTTTTTCACTTCGCGACGAACTGAGGCTAGGCGAAGCGGCTGAACGCCGAAGAAGGCTTAAAAAGTGTCTCAAGGCGAAAAGCAAATCTGACGACGTTAAGCTTTGCTTTAACGACAGTGTGTGAGGCAATTGATCAACGATCACCGATCGCGCATACGCTTAGAATTTATTACGGTTTGCACTTGACTAAAACGGATTCCCCGGCAGGGATGCGCGGAGTTAGTACTGGGAAACAGAGGGAGGGAGACTCCGTGACTCGATTGGAGTGGGGGATGGCAGACTGAATCGAAAACGACCCTTGTGGGTCACATGCTAGCAAACGTCTCGAAAAAAAATAATTAGGACGCTTACTTCATCTCTACCTTTAATTAATGGAAGATAGTTCACGACGAATTCAGTTACGAAGTACTTCGGGCCATCTTTGAGAAATCTTTCTTCAAAGTCATGTGAGTGCACATTCCGGAAATGATGAGTCAACAAATTTCAGTGGAAAACGACGACTTCAGTTTCGACACGATACAGGAAATTGACTTGGAGGAGCATCCATAAACAGTGTTTAAGGGAGGGGACATTAAGACGGTAGTAGAACTAGTTCCTGGCAATGAAATGAAACACGTCGTCTTCTCTTACAAGGAATGACGTTATTACGCCGTTTCCCAGCTTTTGACCATCTCAGCGATGCGAATCGCATGAAGTTCATCTAACTACGTTTCATAATCATGATAGCACATGGCACAAAGCCATGGCTTGATTAAATCCCACCCACTCCCCAGGCACCTAAGAACAAGACGATGGTGGAATACACCGTGAAATCTGGTCCTGGAGAAATTATGCGTTGTATGACATACATCGGTGCACGAACGTGCACTGATATTTATGCGGTAGCGTATAACGAGTACTACCTCCTGAAACATTGTTCGAGATGAACAGAAGGTGACTCTAACGAACAAAATGTCGAGGTGCATCTGACACTGTAGGTGGTCAAACACCATGAAGTCTTGATCAGTTCAGAAATACTCCCATTGGCAACTAGAAACAAAAGAACAGTGAAATCTGGTTTTGCAGGAGCTATGCGTTATCAACCGACATATATTGCTTGAAACCTCACTTTCCCATCGATCCTCGTCTTTCTTTTAGGGATAGATGACATGCTCAAGGAATTAAGAGCCAAGAGGACAAAACAAGCTGACAATGTGTAACCGAAAATATCTAAAAGTTAAGAGAAAATCATTTTTTTCCCCACAACGATTTGCCTGATTCGGAAAATCCGCAGTAATACCATAAGCTCATACTGTCCTGTTAGTCTTCATTCTTCTAAGCGAAAGATGAAATCTGTAAATTGCCAAGTAGTTAAGTCTGTCTGCGGGTACTAAAAGGGCAATAAAACGGGCCATCCGCTTACGTAGTCCCTCTAGGAGACTACAAGCAACGAGGTGGTGCGATGTTCCGGATCGACCCGTTGTAACGACACTCATCCATCTTACACCATCGCCAAATCGTTGTAAAGTAAGCTACACAGTAAGTTACCTTGCTTTAAAGTTTTCGCCTTGTAAATCCCTTAACAGCACAGGTCAGTCATGTCTGTTGTAATTATTAGCTTGAGATATGTGCAAATGCAGAATGTCTCTTGTTTATAATGTCCTTTGTGCTCACAGTTTTTCAAAAGTTTCGTTGTAATGCACCGGTTACTGAATCATAGGAAATATATTCTCTCTGGCAACAGAACTGCTTCTACCTTGTTCCTCCAGGTTGCGCGCTGCTTTCCTGGTCGACGACTGGCTGCTCCTCACATAGGAGATGCTTGAGGGTTTGAGTAAACAATTAATATACAACCACTATGGGTAAAATAGGGCTAACTTTCACTTGTTTTCATAATCTCAAAATCTACCGAAATACTTTGTAATCGACACAGCACGGAGTCATCATTGACTTTATCCTGCCATTTTACCTTCATGATACGTCGAACCAGGAGCACTTGTCCGTGGCTTAACACTCGTTCTTGTTCGTCGATTTCCATGCAGCAAAAGTGAATTGATCCAAAGAGAGATGCAAAGGAATTTTCGTGGCAAAAACTAGCTCACTGTCAGGGCAAATATTAATCAGCTAATTAGACGAAAGCTTTAGAATTATTGGTGACTTGTAACTGAATGTTATTAATTGACTAATAATTTAGTTGAAGATAATTGAACACTGATTCGTAAGCTAGTTACCCTCCTCCAGCATCATATCATCTTATTATATTTGCAACATTTTGTATCAAGTTCCTCAAGAAAATTTTTACTTTTCTTCCCTCTTGTTTGAACTGCCATCTAGAAGTATGAAAAGCTAGGTAAGAGAAATATAAAAGTAAAAAATTTGAAGCGCAAGACGGTATGAAGTTCGAAGAATTTAATCAGGTGAGCAATATATTGAAAAGTAAAAATAAATAAAAGTAAAAATAACAGAGGAATACTTCTTAGGCAGGCTTAGCTGAATGGTTTAGTGATAAAACGAGGAAGAGGCAGCTGCATCAGAAAAAAGGACAATAAGAACGGAATAACAACGAGATGAGAAATGCCATCCTCTTTCCGAGAGAAAAGAACATATGTACATATTTGATAGGTCAGATTCCCCAAATTTTGGTCTCTGTAATTTGCGGAGGATATTTCATTTACTTCCTAGTACCACTGATTCTGCATCGTTCTTTCACACCCCCATCTGTGTTGTCCATAAACCGGCATTGTCTGTTCAGAGGGTACGAACGGCAAATAACCTTTGATTTGAAACGAATGGTTAAATACGACATATAGATGTTTCTAGGGACATCAGACTGCAGGACAAGAGCAAAAATGCCTCCTTTTTCTAAAGAGATCAATACTTTAATGCAAAGCAGTAGATTTGGCTTAAAAAGTTCTACGAAGAACAAGAGCATTTCTTGTTAGTCTGTAATAGCCTTTGATGGAAATTAATAGAGGAATTGGACACGAAACAGCTGAAAATGAGTTAGATGAAATAACTTTGGCAATTAGCGTGCTTCTTTGGTTATCGGACCGTTTCACTCATAAAAACAATGCACGATTTCATTAGCTCATAAGTAAAGATTTACCCCTGTGTAAAATAACAAATTTTCTGTAAGAGAATTCTCTGAGATAACAAACAACTGCTGTAGAAAAACCTTCAATAAACATTAGTGTCAAACAGGATACAAAGAAGGAAAATGACTTGAAAAGGCTTGAAATGGGCTTTGTCCTCGTTTTAGGATTATCACGCTATCTCGGCTAACGTATAACTCGTCAAAAACCAAATTTCGCGCTACACTGTACAACCACTGGCACATAATGGCTTAGGAGGGCCAATTTAAACAGTTCATAGCCATACGGTATTTGAGCACCTGTAGTGCCAGATGCAGCTTCACTTATCAGCTGATTACGAACGATGTTTCAGCAGTTAATACTCCTTATACGCTACCGCATAAACATCGACGTATGTTCATAAGCTAAAGCATGTCAGATAACGTGTAACTCGTTTAAAACCGGATTTTAGTGCCTGTGAAAAAAATGATCATCTCTCAAGAGACCCAAATTTTAGTGTAAAACGGAAATTTTGGCGTAAAGAAGAATTTGCCTACTAAAGAGGTTCTACTCACAACTGCACTCCAGCTGATGATGAGTGCCTGTTCGTGGTGGCATGTGGCTCTCTGCGACCTTCCGAAATCTCCCGTTCCGTCGCTGCACAACAAACGCCAATCCAAAAAAGTCTGTATCCCGGTGGATGACAGATGATTAAGCACTGAGGCAACGAGGCGAAACTTCCGTGACTCATCGTCGATGACGATGATTCATCGCATCAACGACAAACAAACAAGCGCCAAGCTGATAGCCAGCTGTTGTCAAGTCGGGCGACCGACGACACATGTTAAGAAATTGTTATGAACGAGTTGAACTGCGGCATTCTGCATGTTGCACGCTGGATGGCAATGCATTACAATATTTTGGTCTACTGCTGACGTCACCTCACAATTGTTGTAATGCCCTATTGGTGCCATAAGCAAACTTGGGCGTGGAAGTAAAAAAAGTTCATTTCACTGGATCAACACGATCGATCAACCGTTCGTTGCGTCCGATGAACAGTCGTTTAACGAGTACTACAGTATCCCATAAAAAATGCTCTTTTCATATGTTAGAGTGCACGCTGATGCTCAGGTTCTTTAGAGAATGTTAAAAATAGCTTCGCGCAGGGCACGGCGAACACGTACACATTCCGTTGGTTGAAAAAAAGATGGTCAGGACGCCGACCAGTTCTGCGAGCGCCGATGAGCGCCGTCGGCGCGCGGAGTTGATGAGTCATACGTCGAGCGTAGAAGAAAACCGGCTGGTCGTTATGGGCAGTTTCTGGTTGCTGGTGTCGTAGTCGACGGCTGCTTTTAGAGCGGGTTGCGTTGCCGCATCTTTCACTGTGTTGGGAGCGATCGCCGCGGACCGAAGTCTTTGTAGTCTTCGAGTATATTGAGAAGAACCTATTGAGTGAGGTAGGTGTTTGTGTGCGTGTTTATGAAGTTGATCTCTAGTGGTCATTCTGTTGGTCCGTCATGGTCATTCGCTAATCTTGTTCGTTCATCTGGTCGCCATTTTTATAGAGTACAACCCGCATATTTTTGAAGATACCACGATGTCGATTTCGGAGAGTACCCACGAGTACGAGTCGGAGTACCGATCATCGATCACGCCACGTACAGCTACGCGTGTGTCGCGCGGCATGTCCGGCCTTAGCTCGGCGTCCAGTCAGGCGTCTGGCGGTCGCGTACTAAAGATCGTCACCGAGATGGGCAGCTCGACGGTGTCCGGCATGAGTCCGGCGCTGTCCGCTAATGCCGCCCAGTCGTTCCTGCAGGCGACCGAGAAAGAAAAGAAAGAAATGCAGAACCTGAATGACCGTCTAAGCAATTATATCGATCGAGTGAAGGGCCTCGAAGCGCAGAATCGCAAACTCGTGGCTGATTTGGAAGATCTGCGCGGCCGCTGGGGTAAAGACACTAGCGAAATCAAGCTGAAGTACTCGGATGAGTTGAACGATGCTCGCAAATACATCGATGACATGGCCCGCCAAAAGGCCGAAATCGAAGTGCAAATCGCTCGCCTCCAAGAGGACATCGCCGAATTCCGCAGGAGGTGCGTTCCTTTCTGCTGACTGTTTTTTCTTATCACGCATCACCCACCGACTCTGATTTGTAGTAGCGCTCTGTGTCACTCACATTCACGTAACACACAGAAATTAAAAGAAAAGAAACAATTACAACCGCGTTCCCAAATATTGTTCTAAACCGTGTTGGTTAATCTTCGATACGACAAACCGGTTCTTATCACATTTACGAACTACTTCAGAATGACGTTACCGCTGTACTCTAAGTGACATTCCAATTCTAATCGACCTTCC